CCCAAAACCCCCACGCAACCCAAAAAAATTGCTCTGAGTTTGGATGTCTAATAGGTGATATTTGCAACTTCGATATTGATATTGGGTTCTAAAAGTTCCGAAGAAAAGATTTCTGACTACATTGAAAGCTGTTACAGGGAAGATAATTGGTTCTAGTGTTAATTTGGTAACCATAAACATGTCAGATTTTCATTTAAGTAAAATATCCTTTCGTATTGTTACTTCTGAATAGCTTCACATTTTTAGTGAATAAAAATAAATATATGGTTTCATAAACATGGAAGCCAATTGCGTCCACCCTGCAGTGGATTCTTAAATGGTTTTGTGGTAGTCTGCCTTTCACATACTGCAAGATGGCCATTTTTACCAGGCCAACCTACCGGCCAAATCCTGCTTAAAATAGTAAAGGTCTAATGATGTCTTTATTAAAAAATGTTGCAATCTTCAATTGTCATTCATCTTGTATGTAAATAAATCGGAATTTTGATCTTCTTGCGAATCAGCTAATCTGTGGAACATGGAATAATTTCTTTTATCGAAGATTGTGGAATTATGGAAACAGTCGTAAATTTTGGAAACAGTCGTAAATTGCTAGCTGGCTTCCTTTACCAATCAACTTGTGTTTACACAATCTTGAAATAATTATATGTTTACATGATTTGTCTGCTTATGCATCCTCTTAATTTCCTCTTAGGCGATTGAGAGCTTGCAGGTCACCACCTAGCTTCAGTTAACACGGTTAAGAACGCTGTAAGCCAATGAAAATTGAACATGCATTGCCACCTCTTATGTGTAGACTACCCACATACGTAAAACTTAAGGGGATGGTGGAAAATTCTGGATGGATCTTGGTATAAGATGTTTTATGATTGCATACTACCGTCAAATAGATTTCACCGTACAACACATCTTGTTGGCAATCTTTTAAGTTATATTTTGTCCTAATGAGTTGTAGAATCATTTCATTCCATAGGTGCTGGTTGTGATTTCTTAAAACCACGGGGATGTGGTAGATGATTATTCTAGAGGACACATCCTCCATCTGTTGTGGTTATTGTCCAACTTTCTTATGGTCTAATGTGGACACTATTAGCTTATCTGCTTCAGCAGTATGTGTTGAGTATTGGCAACATGAAGAATAATCATTTATCTTTCGCCAAAACACTAAAGTTCTGAGAATTAGCAAATACTCTGATATACAAAGGCATTTGAGGAAACATACGTGATATATTTTCGAAAGATGGTATTTCTGAGACTAAGGCAGTAGCCTAGTTTGAGGTATCTTCCTTGCACAAGATATGGGGTTCAGGTATTTTCATGTGGAGCACCTGGTTGGGCGTTACACAGAAAATAGTGCACACAGAAAATAGTGCAACATCTCATTAGATCTTATCATGTGATGAAGCAAGGATCAGGAAGAAAAAGGTGGGATGGGTTTATATTTCTTTAGAACTAAAGTCATGCGTACTTAAAGTTCAAGCTATGCATGTCTAAGATTTTTGTTTACTCCTTATCCTTTGTATGTGTTCTTTGTTATAGTTCATTAAAGAAAACTTGTATGTGTTTGGGTTCTGGCTCATGTAGTTGTTTCAATGTATGAGTACATGATACTGTCATCTAGGACTTCAAAACTTCAGCTAGTGCTACTGCTATCTACTGTTTAACAGACATTTTCTAGATCTTTTTTGCTATTTGATGTCCTTTTTGCCTGTAATGGGATTGGAACAGATATAATTCTTGGACGGGAAGATGCAGCTTCTATGGCAGAGGTGGATATTAAGCTTCCATTATGCTTTTATGATGTGCTTGCTGACCATTTTGCTTGTGAACCTGAGCGTGGGAAACCAATTCTTGATATGATTGTTCAACTATGGAGCCAGCCATTTGCCTCTCATATTTTTGCCTTGTTGTTTCATAAATGGGTATGTGAGACCTTGATTGGAGAAAAAGTTTACTGCAATATTTTTAATCTATCCTACATGTATTTGTCTTGAATCATGTGCTTTATCAGTGCGATTGACGTTAGGTCTGTATATGCTTACTCTGTCCCTGATTGCTCAAGATTTCTTATGGCAGTTCATGGAGGAATTGGCTTGCAATAGAAATTTTCTACCTTAGATGCATGATGCATTGCTGATATCTGATTATTATTGATGTGCATAATTAGCGCAAGTCGAGTGAAGTTTCAAGTGACTTTGTTTGGCCTGTAATCTTATACATTAATGCAGTATTGATCTTGTAATGATTTGTTAATTGTTGGATTTGGAGCCCAATTAAGATTGAAACTTGTCTGCGGCTTTCCAGTTCCAACTTTGTACGAAATCAGTTAAGTTGGAATTTTTTTTTCTTCTTGTAAAGGGTCTGCATTTTTTCATATATACACACTACAACCTAATTCTTGAATCATACAATAAAATCCTAGCAACGTCTGTGATGTAGGCAAATTGTTAACCATGTGTCTGCGCCATTATCTATTATAACTATGATGTCATATAATATAGCAATAGCCTATAGTTCTATTCTTTCATTAAATTTATGTGATGCCATTTACAGCTTCACATCTATCTTGTAGTTGTTTGAAGTTCAACTTGATAGTTCTGATCTCCTCCTTCGCTACTCGTCAGCTCTTGTCCAAGGTGCTACAAATGTCTTTTGGTATGGCCTTGCAACAAATTTCTTTTAATAGCAATTGTTAGGTTTACTCATTGTAGCTTGTTTATTTCAATTTTCTCTCCGGAAGAGTTCTGATATATGTGTATGTTTATTGGTAGGATTGACATCCAGACAAACACGACCCACTTCCAGAGTCTCTTCCGGGTGAGATGGGCCTTTACTCTTAGTATATTTATTATGAATACCGTACTAGCGAGCCCTCTAGATTGATTCTTTCTTTAACTGTTTGTTTTAGTATCTTCTGGAGGATGTTGCATTGGTGCCCGAGAGGTTGAAGAAAATCCCTTTTCAGGTCAAGGATCGATCCTTTACATATGGAAATGACTATCCAAATAAGAGATCATGCAATAACAAAATTAGAATTATATTAAAAAAGCCATTTCTATCCTTCCGTCTTTCAGGCCCAACGCGATCTCTTTCTTCTACTTTCAAGATCCATATTCCTTTATAATCTAGGTATAATTACTAAGAAATACCATTTTGCTACATATATATATATATATATATATATATATATATATATATAGGTATGTCTCATGGACAATGAAAATAAGTTATGCATCTTTTAAACTAATGCTTCTTACAGTTGCAAAGCTCGAAAGCTTCTTTCAGCACTTTCCAGAGTTTCCAAATGCTTTCTTGGTAGGGGGTCCTGCGGATATTTTTGTCATTGAACTAACTGATCAGGTGAGAGCTAATATTCTGCGTAATCTATTATTTTATCCTGCATATTGGTAAGATGGACAAATTTGACGTGTTACGTAATGTTTTCCATTGGCCAGCTTCAAAAATTGAAAGTGGAACCTGTGCTTTTACACTACCTCTCCCGCATTAGAGTTCTCCAAGGTATTACTCTTCACTCGGTGATTCTGCTTCATGTATGACTAGTTGTCTAACCATGCGATACATCCGAATGAAAGATTTAATTGTAAAATGAGATTGGAAAATTAATGCACTTTCTCATTAAAAAGGAAGATCCATATTTTATATTCGAATAAGATATAAAGGACAAGTGGTGGTTAATATGTCTGATTTAAAGACCCACCCGGTAAAAGAAACCCCGAAAAATATTACAGTATAAAATTCTCATCTTTCTGATATAGTAGTTTATATATTTAGATTTAAAAATAAATACGTAATTTATTTTACTTCTAGTGATTGGTATTTTTTTTATAAAAGCAACGTTGGAGTATCTTTTTTGTGGATAAACATAACGATGGAGTATTCATTCCTACAATACTCGTATTAGTAGGAGTCGATGATTATCTTGTGTTTGAGCGTGGTTATCAGCTAGTTTTATGAAGTTCAAAGAGCTTCAAAAAATTATACATATGCAGTAATTACTTGTAAACTTGAAATCTAAGGGGTCATGTGTTACTAAGCAATACCTAATGCTTAATAAGTTGTTAATAAGACTACCTAAATGCTTTGTAATATAACGAGTCTACAAGTTCTAAAATTTTGGAGTCTAGTTGTGACTGACATGACTGATTGGTGTATCATGACATTCGCTTCAGGTCTGGAGCTGAGAATGACAACGAGCACCAGACTTAAAACTTGCTTGTACAGCTTCACTTCTCCTGGTGGTCCAATGTATCCAACAAGAGCTGTTCGTCATGCAGCCTGGGATGCTCTGGATTTTCTTTTCCCGGTGAGTAATTTATCTTATACTTGCAAGCCGGTAGAAAGTTTTTTTGTATGGAAATTTGCAACTTTTGGACTGCATAAGCTGTTGATTCCGTAGGTTTATTGAGGTGGTTTTTCTATTGGAAAAAAGGCTGTGGCGATGTTCAGGGGCAATTCGCCCTTACCAAAAAACAGTTGTGTTGTGGCTAATAGGATATAGGTTAAACGTCTAGTTTACTGATTTGCCCCTCAAATATCCAAATTCTAAATAAATCTATTACACGAGCTCAACTAGAATACTTTACTTTTTGTGCCTCTAGTTGAACCTCTCGTAATTTGGGAAATTCAGTATTATTACTCGACTTGTTGCCTGTATTTTTCAAATTTTCACTGATTTAGGGGTAGTTTACCAAACACTCACCGGGTAAGCGCTGACCAGGTGTCGGTTACCTTACCGGGTGAGCATGGCAAGTACCAAGAATCTTACCTCGCAAGAGGCGTAGCAAAGACCAAGAATCTCACACAGTGAGACAGAAGACTCTTACCCGGTTAGTGGTTACTGAGTAAGAAACACTTACCAACAATCCATTTTGATGGCCGAGGATGTTACCAGATAAGGGAAGTGAGGATGGTGATTCTTGCCATTAAGCGCTTACCCGTAAGCGTATGATAAATGGCCCCTTGTGTTTACCATTCCTAGAAGATCAGCGAGTTTTTGATATTTATAGCCGAGAGCATTCAAATATAACATAGATAGTTTTCAATTCTGCGAATGCTTGGTTGGCACATTTGTTAGCCAATGCCGTAACTCATTAGTAATAATTAAAAATAGAAAGGAGTTGGTTCGATCTAAGAAAAAGAATTCACCAGTCGAAGACGTGTGAATACAGCCTTAGGATTCATCTGTAGATCACATTGTGGGTGTAAGAAAGCAACCCGAGAGCAAATTTGGTATGTAATCCAGTCTGGTCGATATGCAGATAGCATTTTGGTTTAACTATTGATGTTGTATTTGGTTCAGGTTGGTCAATACCCGCGGCATATTATCAGCTTCTTTTTCCGGTTGCTGTATCCATGGTACTGGCCATCGTCTTGTTGGAACTTTATCTTGTCATGCATACAGGCAATATTGTACAAGATCTTAAAGCTAATGTTTCCTAGCCGTAAACCGAGAGACCCCCATCACTCTTAAAATGTAAAGTTGATGCTTCAGTCATATATAGAGGTTTGTTGTATTATGGTCAATCCTACTTATACAGTTGGTGTTTTATATATCCTTGTACTCTTCCTTAAAAGTCATATTGCCTTATAAATTCCTCAAAAATGGCACTTCCTCTTTGGAAATTTTGGTTTTTTCCGGAGGCTGATTAAAACTCACTTGGTTTTCTTAATCTTTCATAGGTCAATATATTTATAAAATGCGTCTTTTCATACCAATTTACCATGGAAACATGACAACGTTTTTTATTCTTTGTGTCCATACCATATTTTATGTATCTGACAACAGATATTGGAAGTCATGAGTGTCTCAATTCGTTTGTTGTATCTAATTTTGTATATTTAAAAAACCTTTAATTTTTGTAACAAAATACTCGGCTCCTGGTTCAGTACACAGTAAAATGTAACATCGTCATCTTCTTTTTTCCTCTCATTTATGGTTATGGTTATGGTTATGGTTATGGTTAATTCAGTTTTTAGAGAACCAGTCAGGTACCCAACAAAATCAAAACTAAACTGGTCAAGCCCTTTTTTCCCTTCCCTACGAAATTGGTCAAGTTCATTGCTCTTTTTCTTTCCAACATTTGGTTCAAGTCAAGTTCCGAATAACCATAAAAAAACCTAACTATTCCATTTCAATAAAAAGAAAGGTCAAATTGGTTTTAGCCTCTTCCTTTTTTATGTACAAGATTTAAACCCCTCTTGATCTATACTACCTTATAAATCAGATTTATCAAAAGTTTTAAAAACAATTTTTAATGCACAAAGTACTACTACTACTTTATGCATTCAGTCTTTAAATCTCTTAATCTACAATTAAAATAATATATAGTACAAGTTACCAATGCACATTATTACTTTTTCTTTTCATGTTCTCAAGATACTTTTGACACATTTAACTCATATCTTCATTCTCTCATACCTCTATGTCTTCTCCCCATCCCTAAGGTAAGATTCAAACTGATATTCACCATAAGTTATTAAAAGTTCTCTTATTCATTTCTCATCCAATTGCTCTAGAACTCTCGATCTCGCTCTCTTGATTTATTGCTATTGGTGTAAATAAAGCGAACACATTTATGAAGTCGTTTAAATATGTTAGATTTTAAATATATTGAATTTTAAACCGTCATACAATTTTTTTCATCGATAGACTATAATTGGAACCGTAACTCTTATTCAAATTGTATTAATATGTAAAGACCAAATGTAATTTATATCATCTTTAAATCTTCTCTAATACAACCAATGAAACTTCAAAATCGTTAAGATTCACAGCTCATGCCGCATTGTGCGGGTACACAACTAGTTAAAGATTCAACAAGGACCCAAGTAGAAAATCCACCGAATTGATTTTTATATGCATATTATATTTGATGCCTTCTGATTGCAACAAATTACATATGATAATGGCCAAGTCAAGAGCTGAATATCATCTTCAATTCAAAACAATTCTTCATCTCCTGATTTTGTTCGGAACTGTAATTCAATCCGAGATAGAAAAAAAGGCATAAATGAACACTGGCTGCACATACATCTCTTTCTCTATGCAGGCATGGCCATGTCCATGGGACCTCAAAGAGAGCTAACCATCAAACGAAAAACTCCTAGTATTTTGACCGAACACCATTCAGCATAATAAAGCATCCCACCACTCCAAACAGCAGATTGACCCACAGATGTGCAGGTATAATAATAACCTTACTTGCATTTGCTCCTAAATCCAAACATACCTCTTCAGATATCACGTCCTACCGATCACCATCACCACAAAATCCTGTCTTTCCGTGCGCTTATACACTATTGCTACTCCCAACACAATGTATGCGCATTGAGAAAGGAGGCAATTTGGTGGTGACTTCACCTTCAACTCTAAACCTACAAAGGAAAAGTAAAGCCTCCAAAGCAGAACAAGATCTTTACCTACTTCATCACACATAACCAACTCCTGCTTTCTAGAGTTTGATGTTTCCAAGTGCTCAGCATCTATTTCCATGCCCATTCTCTCGAATATTTCCCCCAGCATAATGAATCCGAGTTGCTTAATGAAATTGCACCCCTAGTATGACAGCTACACCCTGCTTCTAGGTTACCTGTTTTTGACAGGATAACCAACACTTGATTATCAAATGATGGTCAATATCAGGCATTGCAAATTGGGACCAGATCTACTTTCCCTCATGATAGATAAATGAAACACAGCGAAACTACCTGAGATTGATGGCGATGTATGATGCATGACAGGGACATCCTCCAGGCAATTGCAATTCAGTGAAGATACAGACAAGAATGTTCCCACTTTGATGCCTCCATGTCTGGTACAATGCACATAAAGAAAGAAGCTACTGGGAGTTCGGGACCACAAACTGAGTACGGAATGAATACAACGGTCCATAAACTGAAGTAAGGTTCTTGAAATTTATAAAACAATAACAATTAAGAGACAAAAGCTCCATAAAAACTAAGGTTCTAGAATCCTCCCCCTAGTACTTTGTCCGTAGCCTAGAGAGTTGGGTGTCCAAAGAAATACAAACAGTTTTCAGTGCTTGCTGCATCACTATAGCATACACAGCCGGTCTTAAGGAAGAACAAGCAGATGAGACAATTTCAGTTAGTCTGCATTGATTCTGAATGGTACTTCTCCAAATCAGCATCAAGATCATCGGCAGATATCTTCTCTCCACGGCCTCTTCCACGTCCACGACCCCTTGCAGATCCTCGGCCTCCACCACCACCTCCACCACCACGTGACCTTCCAAATCCAGCATTCCTACCTTGTCCACTGTTCCATTGTGCACCAGAACAAAAAATAAGACATCCAAAATACAAGTAAAAGCATGTTATCTCAATATTACCAAATTGCATGCTAAAATACAGTAGATTTGCCAACACCTAGCCAAATAAAACAGAAGAAAAAAAGAATAATCCGGATATTGAGCAAGTGTTTAATAGCATTCTAGGAAAGTGACAAACAGACTCAGAAAAGTGTCGATGAATTTGGTTGGCACCAATCAAGACTGCAGCATAAATCGGTTCAATACCAAAGTTGCATGCTCTTTGATCAATGGGGTCCTAAATCACTTTAAAGAACTGTGGCCGGTAAAATAAGGCATGATAAGTGTGCAGCTTATGGGGTACCAACTGTCTGGGGTGCAAAGAACTAGGTCACCTCTTTAAGAGCCTTACACTACCATACAAGGGCCTAAACTGAAACTTAAGAAAAGGATGCCATTTCATGATGTGTGTATTATATGATGCATCATTGTATATTCATGTGCATCAGCAAGATTTGCACATAGATGAACCCGAACAATCATGAAGAGAAGAGAAGCTTGAAAGAAAAAAATTGGTAGAAAGGAGCCAACAAACAAACTGCTGAAAGACAATGCTGCTGGATGATGAATTAATACTTTCCATCCCAAAACCAGAGAAGGATCCAAAAAAGACCCTACAGAGGACCATGAGCCACACATTAGAGAAGAAACCTGTGAGATTTTCAAGTCAATCTCCATGGAAAACGAAGAGTACGAAAACCATTGATTTATAAAACCTAGAACTGAGGCAGAAGATCAGTAATCGAAGGTAGGTAGGTAACCATTGATGATTCCACATTGGATTCGACGATAAAATCCATCAACACATATGAAAAATATACTTGATAATTTGGCATACCATGGATACATGGCAAAGATCCGACCATGAAGACACGTTGTGGCTAGAAAAGATAGAAGTGATCAGAGAATGGTTGGTTTATTCATCAAAAAGACGCCTCAAGTAATTAAACTACAAATGTAGAATTCATGAGACCAATGAAATTATATTCAGCTATTTGATCAATTTTATATCCTGTGTTAGTCAAGAATGACACCAAGGAGTATTGGAAGACAAACTCAAAAATCATCAACACGATCATTCCATTGGCAATTGCAGAAGGACCAAGCCACCAACACCACCTAGAGAACTCGAACTCTCGAAGAGCCCAACTTGGCTCACACAGTAGTTGATTACCACACTACCAAACCCGAAAAATTCCACACAAGCAAAATGAAACATATATTTATCTATAATTCAATGACAAGGATTACAAATTTAAGATTACTTGAATGTTAATCTACTTGATGTGTACGAAAACTGAAAACAAGAAACTGTTAATAATAAATTACTTTTAGGATAATTCAAAGATAAAATAAAAACTTGATCAGAAAAAAAGAAAATATTATTTTTGTTCAACTTTAATCAAATTATGTAACATAAATCATCAAAATAATAGTTAAGATGATTAACACATCTCCGTGAATTTGCTTGTCCATCATTTTCTTGTCCCAAAGTGAACATTTATCTTGGTCAATACAACATTGGAAGCAAATGATGTAATCAGTAATGATATTGTACAAGCATAAGTATGTGATCGACAAATAGTTTTGAGGTAAGCAACTTAAAAACAAAAGGAAAAGTTTATTTGTATTTTGCCTAGATTCAATTAGTATTTTATTAAATATTAACTAATATTGATATGTGGAAATACAGTAATTACAATACAACATAAAGATATTGTTTATTTGTATACAAATGTGGCATATATTTTAAATAGCACAAACCTTATATGACTTGGTTAGCATTAATTATCTTATCAGTTTGCCATACCCTTACTTCTGTTAAGATGCCACACACAAGGGCATCTTAACAGAAGTAAGAGAACTTAAACGCAGGATACTCATAAAGTCAGTTTTCTGAAGCCATCCCAAAAGGAGAAGATATACAATACAGACAATATACATGTGTGCACGGTATGTTACGTATAACAAACATATATGTCATGTATATATGTCTGTATATATGCACATATACATGCAGATAACATTTGTTTCTTTTTAATAAAATGACAGATCTTAGTTCGAAAGCAACTTTGCAGTCAGCATGATCTAGATGAGTGATCTTTGCAACAGTAATACTGACTCTAGACAGAAGCAATAAAAGGCACTCATACGGAGATAAAGCAAGGCTTATAGATGGGTTGAAGAAAATTAGCATCACCACGAATAAGAATTGTCTAATGGTTATACCTACCAAGAACTATTTACTAATTGACATTGATGTGATGAAACAAGCCATCCCCTTCTACAAATACTTGTGAAAGAACTTAATAAAAAGTGATCCATTATATTCAGCGAACCATCCTCTGCCATTTGATATTCCAGCTTCACAGTGAATCGCAATCAAAGATTCTTATGACAATAAAAACCGTACCTTCTAGGAAAACCATTCATGTTTCCTATAGAGTTGTTTGCCAATGGAAGACCACCAACAGGAGCTACTATGTTTAATCCCACAATCTCTATTTTCATTGGCTTCCCATCAAGCTGGACATTGTTATACCTCTTGACTGCTGCTAATGCATCTTGCCGTCTTGAAAACACAATCTCAGCCGTTCCCTAAATGAAAATTCGGTTAAGACAGAAGAACAAAGAGAACTATTCTTCATCACAGATACCCTAACTTTGAAATTTACCTTTGATCTCCCGCTTCTGTCATAATGTATAGAATACTTTTTCAGATCACCAACTTCTGCAAAAAGCTCCTGCAAGATTGAAATCAGGTTCATCCATGTAAGATTGACCAATAATCTCTGACTTTCTAGTAAAAATAGATTGAAATCAGTTCATCCATGTAAGATTGACCAAGAATCTCTATGACTTTCAAGTAAAAATAGATCCATAGTACAATGCACAAGATAGAATCTCATTCACATTGTAAACCCACTAAAGAAGTCTGCTACAGAAATTGCACTTCACTCTTTTCTCTTTACTTTTAAAATGTTTGCCTAACCACATACGTCCACGTGTTCACACTAATATCTAATATAACAAAGATGAGCGATCATAATATCGTTAGAATCAAGAATCCAACTTCGATTCTAATTCTATACATCCATCTATCAACAAGCAACAATCAAATCAGGCAAGACACCATATAAAAACTTCAATATCCTCCTATCTCAATAAATTTTAACCAAACGTTGAAGTACAGCTACTCCAAGCATTAAAGTCTGATATCAAAAACTTTATGCAAACATTCAAGTACAGCTACTCCGATCTAACCATGGCTAGTTATCACAAGTACATAAAACAGCAATTACCTTAATATCTTCATTCGAGACACCGTAATCAAGGTTTGATATGTAGAGCTTCGTCCCAGTTTCAATCGCAGATGGCCGGCCGCCAGGTCCAACGTTCCCCATGACCTGATCCGCAACACCAAACATATCATGCTTCCAAGCCGCATCTGGTGCCTAAATCAGACGAGGCAAAGATTTACACACTATTAATTACCACCTACATCTACATGCCAACCAAATAAGCATTATAAGCATCAAACCCGTCCGATCTAAACTAATCAACCTTAGGTCCGCCGTAAGGAGTAGCTCGGTTAGCACCGCGGTTATTGAAGCGACGTGTTGGTCCAGGTGCAGACGGTCGACCACGACCTCGGCCATCCCCACCGCCGCCGGATTTCTTATTGTTCTTGATTAGATCATCAAGAGACATGTCTAAAGCAGCACCGGCCATTGCTCCAATTACACCGTCGATAAGCGAAAGACTAAACAAGATTTTGGAGTGAATTTGTGGTTGCAGATGAGATGAATAAATTAGGGTTCGGAATCGAGAGGGAAATTTCCAGGAGTCGGGTTGAATGATTCGTATCGGAGAGAGATTTCGTATTAAATACAAAAAAAAATTACTTTGTTTATATATATAAAGGTACGGCTTATAACAGCAACTGGTTTCGTGGTGTAGTTGGTTATCACGTCAGTCTAACACACTGAAGGTCTCCGGTTCGAACCCGGGCGAAGCCATGTTTAGTTTTTTAATCTTTTCATCAAATTCTGGGCCAACTAAGGGGTTGTTTGTTTACCTCTTAATAGTTTTATTAAAAAACAATATCTGAATCGTTAAAAGATTAATCTTGTTTGGCAAAAAAAAAAGTCTGTCTCGTATACAATTACCAAACAATTATATTTCATTTTACACTATATCATGAAAGTCTCTTAATCATTATGATCAATTAATCATTCTGCACCAAATCATTCAGCAATTGTCAAACAACCTTAACTTTTACCATCCAACTATAAAGGTAAACCCGGTTTGAACTTCGGACGGATTTGTGGGACCGGTTATGGCCCGACCCAGTGAGTTCAAAAAAGAGCCGTTTTTTTACCATTAGGAACGTTTATTTGACCCTTTTTTTTTTGTCTTTTGGCCTTCTAAACAATATATGTATGTGTGTCATGGAGTATGGTGTAAGATATCAACTTACAAAATGCAAAAAGACGTTTCGCTATATTTTGCGACTTCGGCTCATATTCATTTCGCTTCCACTTCACAATTCACATTTCTTTCTCTCTTTGTCTTACAAAATGGACGGTGAACAACATGATGCATCAAATGAACAAGTTGTCCAAATTCTCGCTGAGCACGGACGAAAGTTCAGATTTGAAATTCATACAACTTTGTGATCCTCACGAACGGGAAAAGAAAGGCACAATGCAAAATTTGATAAACTCTCCTTACAAATTTGAATGTAATTTTAATTATAATAAAATGTATTTGAGTGACCTAAATACAAATTTTATAATGTATTCAAAAAATCTATCGTTAAAAAAATTAAAAACATTTAAAAAAATCAATTTTTTTTTGTAGGGACCGGTTATAAATCAAGTTAAACAGGCTCGAGTTTGATGACCGAGACCAGTTATGAGTATCACTCTTTCAATCCGAGACCGAATTTTGGCCATCACTAATACAGATAGATTAATCACACAGACAACTTTATTCGTACAAAATTTAGTGGGAAACTAACAGCCCATATGGGCTTCTTTATGCATAAAACCAAGTTTTTTTCAAATATGTTATTCCCAATTAGCAAACACGCTCCAATATCTATAAAAAAAAACTCTATCAAACAAAAACTTTTTCAAATCTATGCAGACATTAATACACATAAACGACTTTTTTGATAGGTTGGATGTACTTTTTTGTCAAAATTGGGGTATGATAGGGTTTTAAATAATTGTGGAATCTGATATTTTTGTGTTAACCAACATACGAGATTCAGATAAAACAATGTTTTCATGTAGACACGACTTGCAGTAATCGTATGTTTGTTAGACTGCTTGCTGTAATAAGCGGCATGATAGTTGGATCCTTTGAAAGAATTGTATGTAAATATGATGGATAACTCGATGTTTCTTACATTTAGGGGTAGCTTATGAATTCAAAACAAACATGATTCCATTGAAACAAGTACAACACAAGATGGCTTTTTCATTCGTTCATCTGTTATTATTGCATTTTCTGTTTTGTAAGTTCTTTTTTCAGTTACGGTTTTACTACTTTGTAACTCAAATATAAACATAAAAAGACATGAAACTAATACTGTATTATTGTTATTGTACACTGTATTATTGATCTTAGACACGAAACCTACAAGGGTAATTTGGTCTTTTTTTCACTTGACATATAGGAAAAACTTTTAACTTGAAAAACTCATAAAAAACAAGTTTTCCTCTTGGGATATGCTTCTTCTATTGTATCTTAAAGACACCATAACCAAATTAATGTCGATGGCCGTCGGAAACCACCACTTCCACCTCGAGGTTTTCTCGATCGGTGCCAGTTTTATTCGGTTTCTCGACCGAATCCGAACCAGATTGCTTCTTGGAATCCTTGTATACACAATAGAGAACCATTTGAGTGATCCCGAATAAAAATCCAGCAACATTTGGCACCTATCAATGAAAACCGGCATATTAGATCACGAACGGAAAAACGAATATTTTAGCGACGGAAAAAGGGTGTCGCAATGGCTCTAGCTACTTACTGCTATGTAGTAGTCGTTTACGAAGAAGCCATAGAAGAACCACGAGATGGCACATAGAGTGAGTGAGAAAGAGAGCATGAATGGCATGTACTCGACACTTTTCGTTCGTATCACTTTCCTCTGCATAAAAAGATGGTGTCTTGAGTTAGCCACAAAATTAAATAGGTCTTTCGCAACGGTTTGAATTCCGGTGGGTATTTTATATTATTACCATGATGCTTAGAGGAGCGGCAAACACAGCGAGATTGATAACGGCACAAGTCCACCCTACAAGTTCAACTCTTTTCGGGCCTTTCACCAAGACAAGCGACAACACCAACACTGTACCAAGTCCACCGATGTTGAATACTGATATAAATTTTATTGTAGATATCTGCAAGTCATATGATCATACAAACCATCAAAACATAAGAATTTTGAAAACTAACTTCTCAAAAACGACCTAGTGTTTATAACACGTCTTGCGACAAAAAGACGGGTTTTTTCTAGCGACTAAAATACCGATTCTTGTCTGCGTCGCTAAAATTGTTTGCGTTAAAATAATTGGCTTTGTATAGTTTTGCACCTTGGTTCTTTTGGGGGCATAAAAGAGGTACACTGAGAGGTAAGCTATCTCAATAAGGCATCCGATGCCATTGATACAGACGATCATGTATGCATTCGTCTTAAGAAAAGCATAGTACAACAATAATGCCGCACTGAAGAGAGCGACTATGTACGGTATCGCTTGATACCCTTCTGATGATTTCTTTCTGTAAATCTTGTAGAATGTTGGCCTAAGGAAGAAAACCGGTCATCATGGAGAATTTAATGAACAGCAAAAACATATCGTAATTTTAACGTCAGTTTAAATAAGATATTGAGGTTGTGAGACTCACAGTGGGGCCAAGAACACGAGAAACGATATTATATTACCTACATAAATATATAAGAAACCTTAGAATCAAATGTGACCCGTGTGATATTTATTAACTATAGAGAATACCATCTTTTGCACCATAACATGGTCATTGAACAGAGCAATCAGATGATATTTTGCATTTGCAACATATCGTCTGATTGAATTTGCGACAGACGGAGCACATTGTCGCAAATGTTTTTCTGTAATGCCTTTTGCATCTCAATTCGCATAATGTGATCCAATTTTTAGTGCTTATAAGCCACAAATGTGAACATATGTTATGCATAATATAAATCGATACCTAAGAGGCCGAAGACGATAGCCAAGATGTGAGCGTTCAAGAAGGCCAACATGATGTCTAAGTTTCGTTATCTCAGGTAGACTCGATCTCAATGCTTTTTCTTAATTTTAAGCTTGAGTGCGAGTGAGTTGAACTCTTGATACAAACTTGTTATATATAGTCATAGTTTGGCAGGCGAAACCTGTTCGTTTATCGACCAATAAATTGGAATATTTTCGGAGATTCGGTGGCCACAAAAATGGTAGTGAATTTGGTTGCATTTTAGGGTTGGAAAAATGTATGGAGTTGGGCATGGTTTTTTGTCGTTGTAGGGTGTGGTGAAGACATATTAGGGGAGTTTACATGGAAATGTACCAAAGAAAGATGTGTAACTGAATGTATTTGTCCGTAAAAGCACTACGACGGAGGTGTTGTCGCTAAAAAGAACATAATTTACCGTCGTAAGGGTATGCCGACGAAGATGTCGTCAGTAAAGCTCATCAAAAGCATGTAGGGATGCTATGCCTAGATATGGAAGCAACAAGCCAACAACATTTAATATACAGTTCGTTACAGGGGTGGATGCAGTAGGTTAAAGGTGGGGATGACTCCCATTAAATTTTGTTTTTCTTTTAGATGGGTTAAAAAACAAATTTTTTTAAACTTTTTACGATGGTTCTCCCCAGTAATTCCCACATGTGCCCCTGCCAATCAAAAAAAGGACCTTGAAATCAATAAAAAGAACGATGCTACTATTGTTCGTCTTGCCCCACTTCTAACCCTCCAACACCACCACACCACTACTGTCGTCGTCACCCATCCACCCTACCCTACCACTAACCACCATGCCACTATTGTTGTCATCACACCCACCATCCCTGGTCACTCACTGCACATCCCTACTATGACTATGCTACTATCGTTACTGTCACGTCCCTAATCTAACCCCCACCACCACACCATTATTGTCATCGTTACAACTGCCACTCACCCCAACCCACCATTAACATATGCCACTACTGTCGTCGTCATACTCACCCACTATCCCACCACTATCATCGTGACAGCTACCACCCCGCCACCCATCCCTACCGCCCCACCCCATCCCTAACCTAACCCTCATCCCCACACCATTATTGTCGCCATCACAACCGCCAGTCACTCGCACCCCACCCTACCTCAACCCACCACTAAACACCATGCCAATATTGTTGTCGTCATACACACCCATTCCCATGCCCCAGCCACCCGACCAATATCATTGTCACAACTACCACCCCACCTCCTACCCCTACCCACCCTATCGCCCTGTCTCGCCCCTACCTCCGCCCCACCTTAACCTACTCCAACCCACCACTAACCACCATCCTACCACTGTAGTTGTCACAACTACCACCCTGCCACCTACCGTCCCACTCTAGCCCCACCGTCTCGCCCCACCCTTTTGCCCCAACAACCCCCCTTATGGGAGCCGGGGGGGTAGGAGTGGTGGGGGGCAGGGTTTGGATGGTGGGGCAGGGTTTGGATTGGGGTGGGCGGGGTGATAGCTGTGACGACGACAATATTGACATGGTGGTTGGTAGGGTGTGGGAAGGGGCGATGAGTGCGATAGTCCAAACAAAAACGATTGTTCCAATTCTTTTGAGAGATGTCATTCCAATTCTTACCCACCAAACGCGTGGTTAAATTTCATTCCAATTCCTTCAAAGTCAAATTTCTTTGATGGATTCCAATTCCATCAAATTCATTCAAAGTCAAATTGCTTTAATAGATTTCAATTTCATCAAATTCCATTATGTAAACCAAACACCCCCTAACTTTTTGTGTTATTTTTCATCATGGTTAAAATGTACCCTTTTATCATCATATAGATGTATACATTTTAACTCATGTGAGACTTCTCCACACTATCAACCATTGGGTATTAAACATATTTACATGTTTTTTTCATATGTAAAATAGTCTTTTATGTTTCATACATGAAACCATAGTAATTAAACATGTGAAATAATATAAATCATAGATGTATATATATATACATACATGTATAAATTAACGATACAGGAAAATAGGAATGAGAAGACACACTTAAGGTGCCATACATTGTTTAAATTAGGAACATACGTGTTGGGCAGGTTACTAATTATAAGGTTCTCTACATTGCATGTTTTTGTGCTACATAAATTTTGTTTGTTTTTTAGTGGCAAAAAACTGGATACATTTCTCGTATTAATAGTTTTTTTTAACGTTCAAAAATCTACCAATGAGACCATGTATTTATGCTTGTCATGGAGAAAAATAGTCCTACGTTACATAAAAAAGGTAAAAAGTTGTTTTGTCTCATTTGATCTGGTGTGTTTTTGATAGTAATGATGTGTTACGCAACACACCTCCTGACCTACTTCACGAAGGAGCTTCATGTGATGTGAGACCACACAACGTCTCATATAGTTCAATAAACGTTTCCCATGACATAGTAACAAACGTATATGGATGTAGATTCGACCAGATGATTTCAGAGAAACAAGGTTAAAGAGACACTAGAGTATCTTAGATGGGGGATATTATCTTGTGTGTTGTAGTTTATTGTAGTTAATTCGAGAAAATTTCATATACGCTCTTAAAAATCCATAATACATGCCCATCTCCCTAAAATCAATAGTAAAGACAGAGGTCTAGAACGTATCAACGAGAAATTGACAACACCAGTAAGTTATGTATTTCATGTGTTTTAGAAGAACCGTTCACAACCAACTAGTTTCTTATCCATGACCATCAACGGACTAAAGTTTTCGCCATGAAGAGATTGATCGAATTCTACCATACTTTTGTGAAACATGATCGCTTTTTTTAAAAGGTATTTCAAGTAGCATCTCAATAAGCTCCGAGTTTTTTTTTTCTTCACTTTTTGAATTATGTCTGTTATATTTTACATAAATAGCCAAATATCTCATCAGTTTTTGGATAATTTTATATCATCATGTAACTTATCAATTAGTATTTACCAAACATGACTAGTTTATCAACTAACTTATCAATAATTTACTAGGATTAGTCCAGACTTCTCCTATTCAGACTTCCCAAACCGTTCACATTCAGTCATCTTATTTCACCTCAACTGAAAACCAATTTCACTAAGGGCTACAACTGAAGCAAGAGTCCATGGAAGATGAAGTTTATAGGAAGGAAGGAGAAAGCATAAGTAATCATGATTCATGTTCCACCACCACACAGAAACACATGCCAAAATATTTCAGAAACAGTAGTTATCAAGACTTCTTTTAACAACAAACCATCATCATAGAAACTATTAACATCTCTTTCTAAACCATTAAGCCATTCGTCTTTTAGTTCGCCCGGCTTTTGAAAACGTCGAGATCCATCTCTGTCGGATCTGTTGCCTGAAGCTCCACCTGAATTCCGTCCAGTTCCCTCTTGAATCTGTCCTTCGAGCTCGCATATATCATTTTGCTTCTCACCCTTGCAGTATCAGGAGACCTTAATTTCCAACATTAGTTAATTAATTACACCAACCACCAAAAAAACACATCCATGCATAAATTGGGTTTAACATCTTATATGCTTACCATGCAATGAAAAAGATCCTGCTCTTTTGACAGTTCTCTTCCGTCACAAAGTCATAATCAAAGACAGCATATCGACACTCAGAAGCAGGAAGGGAAGCAGCAAAATCATCGTGGCTTTCACTTGGCTCGCCAACTTTTTCCACAATCACCTGCTTTTGCTTCTCCTCGATCTTGAACACGATGAATCGGTAGGTTCTTTTTGCTTTCAATTCCATAAATTTTAGCTTGCATTCATCATGCACGGCCATCCCAGATGCTGCATTAGCCTACATTGCAAGATTTTACAAATCATGTAAGAATCAACTGTCGACCACATAAAACCTCCAAAATTCGCATACATCTATAAGATGGAAAAACATGTTTGAGTAAACCAATAAAACCTATGGATCAAGCATTTCAACACATGTTAGTTTAGTAGGAAACAATCAAAATAGCAGTCAAGCATTTCAATACATGTTAGTTTAAGAAACTCAAGATGCCTGCTCCAACAGTTGGCAGGTTCATTTGGAGTTCACAAAAACAAGACTACACACACTAAAGAGTACTTTTGTCTTTGAACAAGTGATATACGATGAATTTATTAGTTTGTACCTATTCCTGACAAGATTTATTTGCAGAACAGGGTCGTTGGGCAAGACGTGACATTGACAGACCGCAAGCCATAGAGTGACATAACGTAATAATTAATGAAACAAAGAACAGGCACCGTCTCTTCTGAATGAGTCACGCAGAATGCATTCCTCCGGGCAATACTCCAAGACAAGTTGAGCCTAGTACAGAGTTCTATTTATACAAGTGATTAAGCAAATTGTGTCCGCATTTTAAGTAGTTTTTACTAAAAGTTCCATGCTCTTAAGCTCAAGGAGAGTTGATGCCAACTTGGAAAAATCAGAATGCACCAAGCAACATTTCAAGCACTCGAAATCATATCTAATTCTACAGACAATTGTGATGGTTTAAATACTATGTTCTGATAGAGAAGAGAATATGTTAAAGATATACAAATGAGTGCTGATATACATGCTTTAGCAAGTGACACTTGTGCTAAGACACAGTGCATCGAGTACAAAAGGATGCTACAAAGTTGAAGTTTCCTACCGCTTCCACCAAAAGATTTGAAATTATGACATCACTCAAAACCAAACCAAACGATCCCACCAGGAGGTGAAGTCTGCGGAGTGTAAGATGTATGCAGATTTGACCTCTACTGCCAACGAGTAGAGCAGCTGTTTCCGTGAGGACGTGACATCACTCAACTTCTCATCAACTAAAAGTCATTAATTCAAGATCATGTTGAGACCACTTTCAACCAAAATCCTGACGATTAGCAGGAACTAGCTTGATCTGACGGTGAAAGGAAAATCCTATTCAAGGGGGTATGTTAAGGATTTAAGGCAAGTTGAAAGTCATAAATATTGCAGGCAGTTCACCACTAGCCTTGCCTCAAACAAGAAAGACAAAGATGCTTGGCTTTGGTTATTATAGATCTTAATATTCTGAAGCAGGCAAACGTCAGCATGTAATGGATGTAAGCAATTGAGGTGCTTAATTCAAGAAGCAACACAGGCATAAATAGATTTCAACCACAGTCATATACACGTATACAGGCCTGCCCATAAGGCATAAGATCAAATTGAGCAACCAGCACACAATGAAGTGAACTGAAGAAAATACACAAAGGTGCAGTATGTTTAAACATGCTACTAGTTTAAACTATAACATATTCTGCAGGAAAACATTTTTCAAACTAGCAAAGGATGAACATACATGCTCTTTTTTACTAGAAAATGGTTAAAACCATCTAAGCTAGAGCTTGTTATTGACAAAGAACTTGCCGTGAATAAGGCATCTAGTATCAAGTCGGCTTCACCAGGACATTGGTAAATAATCAGTGTCCACAGTATGTAGGGTTCAAGCAAAGTACATTGTATATGTTGCAGTATTCACCCAACAAGGTGTAACAGGTAGATATGATGATTTCCATAACAGACATTGATAAGGAGTGGACTTGGGTTTTAAAAGTGTGGTGTCACGCCAATAAATTGATATTAAAATGTCAAAATAATACCAAAGTTATACTTCACAACAAATGAAGGAACTAGAATAAAGAAAAAGATGGTAAATAGTAGTCGTACAAGTTTTCAACAACAAACTATTGTTCATATTTTTACGTGGTACAACTGTTCGATGCAAAAAATGATCCTTTATGCTGAAAATTTGTACAACTAGAAGCCTTTCACTCTTCAGTTGAAGTAACCTCAAATGATGCACAAATCAATATGGTCAAGCATGTGAACATAAAAACTTTCTCATCCCAACAAAAAAAAACATCTTTAAGCATTTGCTTGATATGCTTTGCTGCATTTTAATTCAGTATTAATCTATAGCATGAATTTTAACCAGGAGCAATATTTTAAAGATTAACAATTACTTTTAGTTTCAAACTTCTATTTCATAGAGTCATCAAATCAAAATAATTTTCACCGATTATTAAACTGAAGTATTTTTTAAGTCCGATTTCACAATCAAAATTTTAAGTAGATTTACATCTATATATATAAATTGATTTTTGTTCGTCACTTGATAATGTACAATTGTTATAACTTTCACATCGAAGAAATAGTTGACTACAAAAAATATAAGTTGCTATTTTTTTAAATGAAGCCCATGTTTCTGTTAAAACATCTATTAAAATTTACAAACAAATTACTTGATAAATTATTTAAAGATCATAAGATTGATGGTAGAATTAAAAAATCTTACTAATAAAAATTTGATCAATTTTCCCAAAATTTCAAGGTCCAAAGGTATACTGGTTGATCCAAGGGATTTGTTGAAATTGTTGAATGCTCAAAGTAACAGATTCATATTAAAAAACATGTTACAAATAACGAATTAAAAAAAAAGAGTCTTCAGGCAGAAATAGAACCTGCACCTCCAAATACAACGTGGAAGTTAACCAATTAAGCTACAGATGTATGTGTGTTTTGTTTTGTTGGTTCACTCTTTCAAAATAAGCATTTCCCCACAGTAATTTTCAAATTTAGCACTATATATTAAATTATACATATCATGCCCCCACCAAAATTACTTGCAGAGTAGATCACCCGTGACATTGATGATAAATAATGGATGTAGGGACAGCATTGGAAATGTCCTAATACCACACATCGTAGACATAATGCCACATTTATACCAATAGATATCATGTCACCACGCAAAGGCCAAATTTCCTTTTTCAATATATAATATGCATCCCCACCGAATATACCTTTATATATATTTCGTTATTATATTACACCAGTTTTCCAGAAAGACCCCACATTTGAATTTACAAATTCAAATGCAGTGTTTCGAATATATAATTGATAAAAAATTATAAGTTGTCCATCACAATAAAATTCTTATTTGTAGCATTCCTGTACAGCGTAATGAAGGCAACCCTTTCTACCTTATTACATGGTTGATCTAAAATAGTCTAAATGGCCCTAAAATGTCAAATGTGGGATCTATTTTTGGAACAAGTTTCCAAGTCAAGAGGCATCCAGGATTAGTACCGACTGTCTGTGTGCCAAGTAGAATTTAATGTAGATTGCACTTAATTGGTTAACAATGTAAAAGATAGCCTTTAACAATGTTAGTCATTTCAACCGGTGCAACACTTCAAATTAACCGCCAGCGGTCTATTTCCTAGAACAATTTCACAAAGATGATCCATCTAAAACAAATATTATTCATGCATAAGACTCTGAGTCAAAGTTAACAAGGGCATCAAAACCCATCACCATTGAAAAATTCTTGTGATGAAAAATATTCTGTAGCATAAAGTAAAGCATGTGAAAAAACAGAAGGAAAACAACATCTACCATTTTGCGTTAATGGTTTAGAATTCAAAAAAGAACAAAGTCGAAATCTTGTTTTACAGTGTCACCTAAACTATGCTAAAAGTTCGGACCTTAACAAATAAGGGCACATACAATATGACAGATCTACTTGGATCCAGACCATCTGCATGAATTAACTAAATCGCAAATTCGTAGCCACCAACAAAGATTTCCAAACATAAACATCAAAATGAAAGTACCACCACTTTTCGTAACAGGCAGAAGAAAGAAGGATTTGGACCCACAACCTCCGACATAGCACCACCTTAAGCCAAAAACCCAAGCCATATGCTTGTTAATAACCCAAATACATTAAATAAACACACTCCACGAACAAAGGCATACATGTAAAATATCAATTTTCATAGCTACTCGGACCTGTCGTTAGGTAATCCGCCAAATTTAATTGGACCGAATGATAACAAATGATCACGCAAAGGTAAAAAGATCAAGGACTGAATCGTGAAAGTTGTGCAGAAATCAGATCCAGAATCTCAACAGGCAACAACTTGGAAGCAAATCTAGGTGCAATTACAACACTAGGGTTTCAAATTCATCAAAAATAAATGGATCAAGATCACAAATCAACGACCAAACACCAAAGTGCTACACAATTCAACTTACATACGTAACTAGTAACTACACATGCAAAAGAGATAAATTGCAAACTAATACACGTACAAACAAAAAAGATGAACAAAATATACAAGTATTAACTGTAGATGAGTGTTATTTTTGGTGAACTAACCATGGCCGCAGATGATTGATCGGAGAAGATGGAGATGCAATCAAACGGAATTGTAGAGAGAGGAAATTTAGGGGAAAACAGGAGATAAAGAAAAAAGGTATGAATGATTTGTAGAGAGAGAAAGATTTAAGGAATAAACAATAAAACAGAGATTTGGGGGTTTGCTGCATCGGTGGCTACTCTCCCTTCGTGTCCTTATCATATTTCTTCAAAATTTAGTGATGGCCAAATCCGGTCCCGGGCCGGGCCAAATCCGGTCCGAGTCGGAAGAGTGATACTCATAATCGGTCTGATTAGAGGTGAGCATAGGCGGGTATCCGTTCTTTTTGATCGAAACCGGAACCGGCGGTTCTTGAGATATTGGAACCGGAACCGGTTAGAGCGGTTCTTAAATTTTTGGAATCGGAACCGGAACCGCCGGGAACCGGTTTCGGTTCCGGGTACCCGCTTCTTAAAATATTAAAATTTTGTTATTTAGAAATAAAAAATAAAACATTGCCAAAACACTAAATAAATAAGCAAGAATACAAATTATAAAGAATAATGGTTACAAACATTGATTAACGATTACAAACCATAATAGACTAATATAAAATGTTCAAAGTTTAACGATTACATACTATAATAGTAATTGTTCAAAGTTTAACGATTACATACTATGAATCCAAGTGAACACCCAATTTGAAAAAATACGAATCATTTTATATGAAGAATTTAGATGAAGATGACGACGTGCTTTTAAGATGTAAACTTAATATAAATTTGGTATTAAAAATAATAATTACTTTTTTATTGAAAAATACCAGGTACCCGACGGGTAACGGTTCCGAAAAATTGAGAACCGGAACCGGAACCATTCTCAATCGGTTCCGTATTTTAGGAACCGGAACCGGAACCACTCATATCGGTTCCGGTTCCAGAACCGGCGGTTCCAAGGCGGTTCCGGTTCCGTAGACGGGTACCCGGTTCCGCTGCTCACCCCTATTCCTGATTCTGGTCCCGGTTATCAAATTCGAGCCCGTTTAACTTGATTTATAATCGGTTATGAGTAACCGGTTTCAGTCCCTACCCGAAAAAAATTAATACCCGAAAAAAATTAATGATAGAGTTTTTTAATACATTATAAAATTTGTAATTTGGTAATTCAAATACACTTTAAAAATACGTTTTATTATAATCAAAATTACATTCAAATATTCAATTATTTGAAAATACACTTACTCATCGTCGATATTTCATGTCGGATTGATTTGAAGACAGTTGGTATCTTGAATTCGTCTAATAGTTTCTTGGTCATCAATGTTGAGTTCTTCATCATCGTCGTATTGTGAGTAAGTGTCGTCGATATCGATAGTTGGCGTCGTGCTTAGTTCCATGGCGATTTCATTTTCTTCCAAATTTTCTTTCACTGTTTCAATCTCCACCTCTAACGATGTCGTATGTTGATTTCTATCAATGCTATCCAAGTAATCCTTCAAACAAATGCAACACTCCACGAACTCGAGGCTTAGTCTTGTCCGATGTACCGAAATGATCATGGCACTAAGAGACAAAGATGACTTTGAAGTTACGGTACTAGCTTGGATTGTTAGTATATCACGTGTCATGCATGCCAAAACCGAGAATTGAGGTTACTTTTGTTTCCAAAAATCTAATAGATCAATATTTTCAAAATCTTCGACATCATTTTCGAGTCATGCGGCCACAAAGTTAGTATGCACATACATATTTAGTTCACCAGAATCATTATCAAATCTATTTTTTTTACTTGATTCATTTAAAACCTCGTTAATTAAATTAATCATCAACTCTTTCCGACTTTTGCAATGACCACTAGAAGAACTAGAACCCGTAAATCCACGACTTGAAAAGCTTTGTTGTTGGTTTCCTTGTCCATAAAAATGTTTATAATGATCAAATAAATCTTGAAATTTATGATTAAACAAACATTTTTGTTCCATTGAAAAATAATTATTCGTAGACGTATCTAAACAAAAGGTCACACCTATTTGTGTAATTAAAACTTCAACACCGATAACATTTAAATACATGTTTAAGTCGCAACACAAAGAAAAGAAAATGAAATATTCATAAAATATTTTAACAATTTATTTTTCATTGAACTCGTCAATCTTCCTCAATCGTGATGGTCTTCATATTGTGCAATTTTATTTGCCAAAATATATAAATGATTTAAAAGTAAATAGCTTGTTGGATAATAAATATCGGATAAAAAATTTGTCGCATTTTTTAAATCGCTTAAAATATCGTACAATCCTTCAACCACGACCCAATCAAGATCCCCAATAGAATTTTGTGGGTAATGGTGTTTATAAAATGATAAAATATAATTTTTTTGTTTTACCAAATTTTCAATCATAAAATAAGTTGATTCTATCTAACGGGCATATTGAACATTGGTCCTAAAGCTTTAAAACCAACATTTTTGCAATATTTTCTATATTCCGCATTCATTTTCGTATCCTTTGTAAAAATTCGTTGCAACATAAGTCTAAACTTATCTATCGCGGGTTTACAAGTATCTAAACCGTCTTGAACGACTAAACTTATTATATGTGCACAACAACGTGTATGAAATAATCTACCGTTTACAATAGGTGTCAAATGGCTTTAATTTTTTCACACATAGATTTTTATTACTAGCGTTATCAAATGAAATGTTAATTATTTTAGTAGATAAATTATAAAATGTAAAACATTTTAAATAATTGAAAATTGATGTGCACCCGAATGTGACGTACCAAACGGTTCAAACGCAATTACACGTTTGAATAAATGCCATGATTGCGACTCAATCCAATGTGTCGTTATGCATATATAAGAAACCGACAATCTGTATGTTGTGCGGTGCGCTCCATACATCACACGTTAAAGAAATGTTGTTAGACAAAAGAGAAATTATTTGTTGCATTTCACCTCGACATATTTTCCACATTTTAATTACATCACGTCTAAAGGTTTGATGACTTACCAGCTTGTATCGTGATTGTAGTGTCTTTTGGATCAACTTTGTAGCGGCATGGTTGTCGAAATGTCCAGAAGGCAACCCGACTTTGAATGACACATTGTATTGCCATTTGTCGGTTCAACTCGACACTAAACAACCATATTGACATCGGGTGTCAAATATCGGTTGGCTTCAATCGCCCCCGATCTCAACCCCGAGCAAGTTTTTTCGGTGTGCCGCCTTAAAGTAGAATTTCTCTCATCTGTAAGGAGAGCTTGACACATTTTGCATTGTGCTTTTCTTTTCCCATTCGTGAGGATCACCAAGTTGTATGAATTCCAAATCTCGGACTTTCGTCTGTGCTCAACGAGAACTTGTGCAACTTGTTCGTTCGATGCATCATGTTGTTCACCGGCCATTTTATAAGACAAAGAGAGAAAGAAATGAGAATTGTGAAGTAGAAGCGATAAATGAATACGAGCCGAAGTCACAAAATATAGCGAGAAACCGAAAATTGTGAATGTTTTTTTTTTTTTTTGCGTTGGTATCTTACATCATACTCCATAACACTTGTATATATCGTTTAGAAGTCCAAAAAGAAAAAAAAAAGTAAAAAAAACGTCTAGTTTTTTGAACTTATCGGACCGGGCTCCCACAAACTCGTTCAAAAGCATAACCGGTCCCGCTCAACGGACCCTCAACCAGTCCCGGGCCAGACCGGTCCTTTGCCGATTTCGGTTCTCCAACAGTCCCAAGCCGTGCCATACCAGTTTGGCCATCACTACTTCAAATAAGCTTACAATTAAAAATTGGGCTGGACGCATCCTAACTGGACCAGTTTTTCCACATCAAAACATACTTTCGCATTCTCAATATCTAAAATTCTAAATTTACTTGATTCAGATATAAAATGAACTTTTTTATAATGACTGACATATGTTTGTTTTTTAAAAGGTGTTAATCTAAAATCTTATTTTACTTTTGATTGATAAGAGCTAATCATGAATTCTGATTGTCTATTTTTGTAAATTGATAAACGTTTGAATCTGTATAAGATCTTTTTTCAACAACTTGTTAAAACTGATTCTAAATTGTTTCGATTAATAAACCCACCACTTTATGCTTCTAAATTCAAACCAATAAAAATGTGCCAACTATTAAGAGTTTGTTTCACGAAACTTATTGATTTTTTTTTTTTGAAAAACAAGGTCATACAGTGTCAGATTTACGCAGTGTCAGATTTATGCCATATTAAACCAATTTGTATTAAAAAAAAATCAGATGCAAAGCATTCATGAAATATCACTATGTGAGTGGTGTTTTTAAGAAGGAAAAAAAAAACTCTTATATGTCACTTATGTCTGATTCGTTCAGACATACGACAGTTCAGATTGTTTCTTTTTCTAACTTTCATGAGCTACTTATATCTTACCGTCCTCTGGAAAATAAGGCATGACCTAGCCATTTAAAACATCTCTAATCACTTAATCGAATTATTTCCTCTCGAGTCATAGATCGCATGTTTTTCCGTTGATCCAAACATTATCCGGATTGATCCAATTCACCATTGGAGTCCCTGAAACAAAGCCATTAAGACCAGGGCTTGCAAAAGCGACCCACTTACTTTTGGAGCCCCTTAAACAAACGCAAAATCACCAACAATGAAATCTGCTCATCTTCCCTTTTCTTTCCCTGCAATTAAAACTTCAATCTTTAGATAGTTTTCAAGCACTAGCATAAACCTTAATCCGTCATACATATTCGATTTCTTCTGTCTAGTTTTCAGTTTGGCAAGTGACGAGGTACAATCATTTGTTACCAATCACTATGTTTTAATAGATTAAGTAAACTAAGTAATGATCATATGTTAGGAGTATAAAACAAACGTTGTTGTTGTTAGCAGAAAATTGTAAGTGTTCACACTGTAGGCATAAAATGCTCACAATGGTGGCGCAAGTGCACGCCAACGTTGTGATTTCTACAAGTAATAGAGTGGTAAGAATACAAGATCGTATCCACAGGGATCATACTTCAGAGCCTTGAGTAGTAGGTCGAGAATACAATGATTTCAATTAGAGAAGAAAAAAAAATACATTTGAGCGAGTTTGATGATTTTCACAATAAAACAAAAGTAACTAAAAATAGGTACGAGTATAAATGCCGCTAAGAGATCAGCAGTAAGAAGATGGTTAAATACTTTGTATCACAAAAATGTATATAAAGATCCCGATCGTTTGAAAGTGAATCCTTATAGATTGTGCCCATAAAGTATCCACAAAGTCACCACTTTCACCAATCGAAGACTTGTCGATCAAACTAATTAGATTTAAGGAAATCTTATTTCTATTAGTATTGAGAGAATGCTCATATCTTTATCAAATCTTCTTACATCACTCAAGTCGTATTCCAGAGTTTGTCCATCTCTAGGCTAAGACCTAATATTAACATTTTAAAGTGATCGTCTTGTACGCGTTGAGTTAAAGCTTCAACTTCAATAACCATTGTATTGTGCGAGTATCCTTCTGGTCTATTAAAATCAAAATGTATCTCATTACATTGCGTGAGTATCCTTCTGATCCATCAAAACACAAAACTCATTATTTTCAGCTTTTCAAAATTTCAGCGACAATACATTATAGTAGCAAACTGTTAAGGTTTTAATTTTTATTTCCGATATGAAGAAATGCAATGTTTATTTCAAAAAAGAAATCAATGAATACCCATTTTTGTTAATTAAAAAATAATCAAAAATTTTAAAAATATATATAATTTTTTAAACTGAAAACGTGACAAAATTGAATTTGAAAAAAGAAACATGAAAAGGAAAACAACCATCAGGCGGGAAGGATAAAAATTCTCAAAAATTCACGCGAAACTCAAAAATTTCACGAGCTTTCTCATTGGTCCATTCCATTTCACACGGATCACGACAGAACAAAACGCTACCGTTGATTAATCCCAATCAGACGGCCCAAACCCATCTCATTTCACAGACCCGATCCTCCCCCACTAATCCATGTTATATAAACAACTCACCGGTGACCGAAGTAAATCACCAATCACTTGTCAACAAACATAGCGAAAGAGAGAAATGGAAACTACCGGAAAAGCGAAGAAGGGTGCCGGAGGCCGGAAAGGAGGCGGTCCAAGGAAGAAGGCGGTGACTCGTTCCATCAGAGCTGGTCTGCAGTTCCCTGTCGGTAGGATTGGCCGTTACCTTAAGAACGGACGCTATGCTAAACGTGTCGGAACTGGTGCTCCGGTTTACCTCGCCGCCGTTCTTGAATACCTTGCTGCTGAAGTAAGTTTATCTGTTAATTCCGTTTCTCAATCAATTCTAGTTAAGATCCCCACAGGTTATAATTTAATTCTAGGGTTTCCACGAATTGATTCTTGTACTTGAACCGTTGGAACTTGAAATTTAGGGTTTGTAGGTTTAGTTGATTGATTTTACCAAGCATTTCAGTGGGAATTTTCAACTCGAATTCGAAACTTCTCATCTACAATTCCGATCTTAAATTCGCATCTTTTGCCCTAGACCTTAATTTAGGGTTTTTTAAAAACACAATTTAACTGTGTTTTTGTTTGTTTGGCTATAGGTTTTGGAATTGGCAGGAAATGCAGCAAGAGATAACAAGAAGAACAGAATAATCCCAAGACATGTTTTATTGGCGATTAGGAATGACGATGAGCTTGGAAAACTGTTGGCTGGAGTTACCATTGCACATGGAGGTGTTCTTCCCAACATAAACCCAGTTCTGTTACCAAAGAAGACAGCTGCAAAAGAGCCTAAATCTCCATCAAAAGCTACCAAATCTCCAAAGAAAGCTGATTAGCTTACTTTAATAATGAATGATGTTGTTCATCTGTGTCTGTAATTGTAGTTAAATTGAAAAATGGAATTTAGTTTTTCTAACCATTGGGTCTGTTTTAGATGGTCATGATATATTTCTTGGCTTGGTGTGACATCAGTTTCAATGCGAGAAACCTCTTGTTTCTATCTACTTGCTTCTTCACCATTCATGATTATTGTGGGTTGAACCTCTCTTTTGGTGGTTATTCATTAATGAATAATGTGATTTAATATTAATGATGAATAATATTCATTATCCAAAATGAACCTGCGCTTTGTAGTCATTAAAAGCAACTGAAACCACGTATCAAGAAAATGATGTTTACACTTGGGAATGGTGTCATCCTCCTCTGATGTTTCTTTCTGTCTTGGCAACTTCAACAAAAATCAATCTACCATCCACGATCTGCACATCAAACTAGAATTTGTAAACAATAACATCACCAATAATGTATTTGAATCTAGAACTGGCTTAATACAAGTCAAAAGGCAACAAAAATGGATAACCACAAGTCTTTTGAATCTGGAACTAAAATTGTGGCTCCACCAGTTCCCATGGTTATCCCATACTGATTATGCCACTGTCATGAGTACTACCATCTGCTGAGTGCTGACCATCGATCTCACCTACCAAGTTCATAGTTCGCAGGCTTTACTTCTAGCTTTTGAGGCTACCCTCAATCCTTTTTTCATCATCATACTTCTGCACTACTAATACATTGACTTCCTTCTTGCAGTAGATAAATTATACGGCCTCTGATTGAATCATAACGACTTTCTTCAATTTTGAGGGATTAAATTTCTTGTAACATCTCCTTCACTGAGCCATCTTGTTATAGAGCAAAAGAATTCTCACATAAGGATCCCTCCACCGTCAATCTGAATTATCTCAAAATCATCAGTTTAAGTTCATCCCATCTCATCCTTAAAAGAGGTCTAAGGGATCATATGGACGCTTATCCCTATATTTACTCCTACCACTTTATTCGTACATGGAGTCAGGAGGAAATAACCCAACACCTTACGGCACGAGATGGTAGCCATGCACCACCTGTGTCCGCATCTCAAATTAAAGCTATGAAATAAGTAGCCGTTAAATCAAAATTGGTACTGGCATGAAACGCATGATTTTCTTATGTTTGTGATAACATGATCATACCTTACGTGCCAAATTGGCTAGTTAAAATGTATGATCCCTTTTGAATGTCACCAGCAGCAATTTGTGCTCCCACTGGAACCAGCAGAGGGGAACACCAAACATTCCATTGAAATATCATTCTGCCCTTAAAACCTAGCCGTTTGTGCTCCCACTAGAACCAGCAGAGGGGAGCAGATTGAAGTGTGAATTTGTTCAACAAGAAATATCATTCTGCCGTCAAAACCTAGCCTTCCAGGTCTGTTCCATTGAAAACCGGAATCTCCAATTTTCTTCCCTTAATTGCACAAATACAACCCCGTCAGGTGAACCTCCTCTGCGTTCTCCCATTCTCTGCCTTGGTGTAATTACCTTGTTTTCTGTTCAGCATGGTGTTTAATTATTCGATTTGTTTCTCGTCCCCTCCTGCCATTTGTTTAAACACTCTTTAAGTGCTTCATCATCATTTGGACATTTTGTTTAAACACTCTACCTGAACTGCGCTTATACTCCATTCAATCTTGTCCACGACGCCATCTTACAAGTCATCACCATGATCTCAACATACCAATTTTATGCCCATCAAAATTCTCAACCAAAATTGTATTGCCATTTGAAATTTGTACAAAAGAACCCAACTTTCGAGAGACTGGTTCTCTCCCCCGACTTTCCTCTATGTTCTTGAACATTCATAGCCCCACTGCTTCCCCCCACCCTTTCTTATTTATACCCCTCACTACAAACATAACAAAAGCACTGACACAACACATTTTATTCTTTACTACCCAAACTACCCTTATTGCATGCATTAAATTCCCACTTATAGAACTTTACGGGCCTGCTAGATCATCGAATTCCCACTTACATATTTTGAGAGTAGGTATCTAGGCATCAAACTCTAACCAGAAAGATAAGATTGTTTCAAATCTATGTTTCAGCATATTGAGCAATATTTAATACCTTTGTTTGAGGCTTGAGCTTGGACTTACAAAAAGAGCTGAATTTCCCCCTTGTTCCATTCATCTAGATCATAACTTTTTGGTCTTCCCTTATGGTGTTCGTCACATACTTGATTTGTGAAGATTATCTAATACCAATTTATGCTAAGCAACAGGCTGGTAGATGATAAGATTAAGATGCATAACAATCAAGTATTTCTTTCATTACGATTAAGATTTGGAAGTTATTGGTTTCAAAATTTAATCTTCCATACAAATTTCTTTCATTTACATCATTTTCTTTTTTCTACAGTTCCCTTTATAGGTTCATCATCATAACCCCCTTAAATGGAACAATAATGATGCATTTATTTCTTCGCATTATATAAATGCAGCGCATGGAATGAGAATGTTAAATGACCAAAACCAATAAACCCTAGAGTTCAATCTTGAAATCACAAACTCAAATGGGTTTTTGAACTATTTCAATTCATACCCAGAAATATAGATAACCTAAAAGATCGAGAATACCTTCCCATTCATAGCTTTCAACGCATTCTGGGCATCAACATCTGATTCAAATGTAACAAAACCAAACCCCTTAGGCCTCTGAGTTCTTGGATCGGTAACAAGTCTAGCTGCATTTTAATTGAAACCATCTTAGCATGAAATAATTCAAAGTCACCTAAAAAATAATAAAATTTAAGATATACCTTCAGTGATTTCACCGAATGGGGAAAACAACCTCTTCAAGTCCTTATGTGTAGTGTAAAACGACAATCCTACGTAACACAATCTTCAATTACTCACAAAGAAAGGGGGAAAACTACGTCTCTAAAGATGGAGGAGGAGAGATTACTGCTCACAAAAAGCTGGGAACCAAGCAGTCTCTTTGCCATTGTGGAACCTGAAACCCACCAAATCCTTTCTGCTATGCTCCCTCAGGCTGAGGTAAGGTAAAAAAAACTGGGTGTTAAAAAACAGCAACAAAAAGATCGCAATTGATGTTTGCTAAAACAAACTCTTGGGATAAATTAAACCTCAAAAACGTAATAATGGGAGTTTGATTTTCACACATGTGAGAGGAGAATCCATGAGGGGTTCATTCTGGCCCACAAAAGATGATCAAATGCATCGATTTTTAGGTTAACTGAACCAATTTTTTTCCATTTAATTAATTGAATGGGACAGAAATTAGAATTCAGGTTTTAGTTTAGATTCATGTAACATCCTTACATTTCAAACTTTTAATAAATAAATCATTTTGGTGAAAGTTTGAAGCCTTGAGCGAAAAAGACGATCAAGCAAAGAACCAGGTATGGCTTCTGCCATCTTCCTTTATGACAAGCAAGCAGCAACATTCTATTATTACATGTATATATAGAAATCGAAGTTTTCAAAGCCTCACAACTCACTGAAAATTTGAGGAACACTTACTCACTCATCAAGACATGAGGTTGATGTTCTAGTTCAGGCATTGCAATATCATTATTCATTAATCAGGTAATGAAAATAGCTTGCAATCTATTATATATTTCTGTTGGCGATTAATTTAGTGGATTCATGAATCATATAGATTCATTGGTTGATCGTATTGCAATCTCTATAGCAGGGCTACATGTTTTAAAACCCTAACATAGAAAAACCAGAAGAACTGGTAGAGGATAAATGCAGAACCAGTAGAGGATGCTTGTCGTTGATGCTTCTGATGCTTCGGTGTCGTCGAGGCTAGGGGAGAAATCGCCGTCGTTGCTCGTCGGAGATGTACCACGAGAGAAGAGAACTTTTAGGGTTTCGATCGGGTTTAAAGAAATCTGAAAATGATTTGAATGTGAAAAGCGGGTGAGTTTGCTTTTATAACTGGGTCAAAAGAACCGGGTAGTATCCAGAAAATGGGTCCGCGCGTTTTGCTACTTACGGGATTTGGCAGCCCCAGTCCCTGCACTTCTAATTATTATTCTTTAACCACAATTCTATTTTTCAAATTATTTAAAACATCCCCACACGCACAGCTATGCTAAAATAAAAGTTTTGAAGATTTACTAGTTGTGTACCCAGACAATGCGGCGAAAGTCGTGAATTTTAATAATTTTGAAGTTTCAGTGGTTTTATTAGAGAACATTTAACGATGATATAAGTTACATTTGTTCCTTACATATTAATACAATTTGAATAAATAAAAGTCATAGTTCCAATTACAGTCTATCAGTGAAAAAAAATTGTATGACAGTTTAAAATCCAATATATTTATAATATAACATATTTAAACAACTCTACAAATGTGTTCCATTTACACCAAGAGCAAAGAATCAAGAGATCGAGAGCGAGACCGATAGTTCTAGAGCAATTGAATGGGAGATGAATGAGMGAACTTTTAATAACTTATGGTGAATATCAGTTTGAATCCCACATTGGGGGATGGGGAGAAGACATAAGGGTATGAGAGGATGAAGACATTAGTGAAAGGTGTCAAAAGTATCTTGAGAATATAAAAAGAAAATATAATGATGTGCATTGGTAACTTGTATGATATGTTATTCTAAATATAGATTAAGAGATTTTAAGACTGAATGCATAAAATAGTAGTACTTAATGCATTATAAGTTGTTTTTAAAACTTTTAAGACTTCATGCATAAATGTATAGTACTTTGTCATTAAAATTTGTTTTTAAGACTTTATAAATCTCGTTTATAAGGTAGTATAGATGATACACTTTTGTTCTAACAGTTATGTTATACCGTATGCTAAAATAAATAAAGGAAAAAGAGAGATAAAAGAAATCTCTAAAACTTCATATCTAAGAGAGAGAGAAACAGTTAAATTTCTCACCAGTAGAAAACACTGAAATTAAGTGTTTAGAATGAAAAATAATATTTTATTAAATGTATTTGAATACTTTAATAATATTTTATCTCCTCTCCAAAGTAACATATATTTATTTTAAAGATTAATGTCGATTCCATAGAAAAATGAATTTTATCCACCAAATCGACACAATTGATTTTCGATATGTCAAACCACGTTCACTTTACCTTAGGTGAAACCGCTACTTTGTGGGCTCTTAAAGGTGCACTCGCTTAGAATAATTCTTGGGTTCATTACTTCTCTCATGATCTCGCTTGTTCCATATTTTATTTTCTATACTCGCCAAATCTCTATTAAGCACAGATGGAAATTTCGTGTAATGATTACCACAAGGATGCTATTTGGTTAAACTAATATAATTCATGAAATTTTGTTTTATAGTTTTTAATACAAATATATTTTATCTAACTTGAAAATACAAAATATGTTTCATTCAACATTTAGAGACGGATTGAGCGGGAATAAAATTTCCATTCTCCCAATTTGGTCAAGAATGGAAATTAATGAGATTCGGATGATGGGTCCATTATATTATATTCAACCAGATCACATCTTATTTCTTACCCCTCAATTCCCCAACCAAACACCTCTTAATCATGGGGATGGGTACTTGCCGGTGTTAGGGTCAGGATTCCCCGCGTTGGTGGATGACTGAGAGAAGACGAGGGTATATTTCATAGCCGGAACGGGTTGAGGATGACACTACCCGTTCTAATCTCACCTGAATTATAATTTTTTGTACTTCGTTAATATATATATATATATATATAATACAAGTATATTTGGTTTTAAATACTGGTAATTATTTTAGTCGGACAGGGTCGAAGAAATGGGATGCATTACTCTCTCCATTTCCATCCGAACTCTTAAGAGATTCTCTCACAATGCCCACCCTCAATCGAACTTCATCAAGTTACATTAGGTTCCATATTGATGAGCTTGATAGAAGCTCATAGGACTCGTTTGGTTTATGAAATTTGGTAGGATTTAGAATTGGATTCCATTCTAATCCCGTTTTTGGTTTAAAAGAACATATGGAATCGAAATTCACAAACATTAAATTTAAAAATCACATGGAAATGTTTATTTGGTTCTAATACGAAATTCATATGAAATCACATCAATATAAAACTCATATGTTCTTTTTCGTATTAGATTTCATATGTTCTTTAAACACGACACTAACATATGCTTCTCAAATATTTAATCAATCAACAAGTGTTAAGTCAATCAATAAACTTCTCATTCTTTATATTACACAATCCATCAATTTCTCGTTTTATATTCTACGAATCCACCACATCCTAAATCAACTCATCGATGTTCCTTACATTAAAAAAAGGAAAAAAGTACTCGGAATATGTTCCTCCATAATCAAGCCACCCGGTTGGTTGCAACAACTTCTCTCCGTCATGATCATTATCGAAAAGCATATTTATGTTCTTGAATAGAACAAAAGCCATAAATTCCATTGATTCATACAATAAGAGGAAGGCAATTGAACAAACAAACAGCTAAAGATGGCTGAAAGAAAATTACATATATCATATCACATATATGTTCCCGAATCCACAATTTGAAGCAACCAATTCTAGATCCACAACATCAATTACTAACCCTAATAAAAGTTGAAAATCAGAAAAAGCGATTAACATAACTAATACGAAATCAACGGACGATATTAAAATCTACCCTAACATATATCACGAACACATGAAAACAAGCGATTAGCAAAGAGTATGAATTACTTAAGAGCTTGTGAATTTCGTCACCGCCTTGGTACCTTCTGACACGGCGTGCTTGGCTAATTCACCCGGAAGAACAAGCCTTACAGCGGTTTGTATCTCCCTTGACGTTATTGTTGGCTTCTTGTTGTACCTCGCAAGCCTTGAACTCTCTTGTGCGAGTTTCTCGAAGATATCGTTGATGAAACTGTTCATGATTCCCATCGCTTTGCTCGAGATTCCGATGTCTGGATGAACCTGTTTCAACACCTTGAAGATGTAGATCTTGTATGTCTCGACGCTCTTCTTCGTTCTCTTCTTCTTCTTGTCTCCAGCCGCGGTGCCGACCTCCTTTGGTAACTTTTTCCCGGCCTTTGGTTTCTTCTCGGCCGGTGCCTTCTCAACGGTGGTTGTTTTCTTCTCCTCCGCCGGCTTTTTTTCAGCGGGCTTCTTCTCTGCCTTTGGTGCCATCGATTTCAAGGGGAAATTGAAGATCGGGTTTCTAGGGTTTGAAAATTGGAGAAATTTTTTATCGATTGTCTTGAGGAGAGAAGAAAGTTTCGGGGGGTTCTTACATAGGATAGGCGAGTGGCCTCTTATTGGTTATTATAGTCATCACGTGGATTAGAGACGTGGTGCTCGTTCTTTTGTTGGATGATACTGACGAACAAGCAAAGTTAATGGATGGTCGAGATTATATACTGTAAGTGTTGGGATTATGAGGATGCGCGGCGTTTCTTCCTTTTTAAGAGTAAATTAAAATCATGGTCCCTGTAGTTTGCGGTTTGTTTGATTAAGGTCCCTAAAACGTGTTTATTACACTCCCGATACCTGTTTTATGCAAAAATGCACGCTTCAAGTCCCTCCCTCTAACAAAATAAAAAAAATCCGTTAACCTAGTTAAGTGAGAGGGTATTTTCATCTTTTAGCCTCTTTGTTTTGTCTTTTGTTTTTTATCATATGAACCAAAATTGTATCATATTCTAATATCATGTATACTTTTAAAAATATTATTATTATAATATTATATATATATATATATATATATGTATATTTATATAGTGCAAACATAATATACATAGATTACCATCGTCGGCGTGAAATACTCACCCCCACTCCGGTCAAGCCTCCGTCGAACACCTTTAATGTTGATCATCGTCTCTCTCCCTCCTCCCTCTGATGAGACCCATCCCTCACCTGCAACTTTTTTCTCCCCTATCACTATTTCTTCTTCTCCGACTGAAAAATCGTAGGCACTACACCATCATCTTGTTCACTTTCCTACTGATACAACCCATCGTCTCCTTTTCACCTGTAATGCAACATCTATTGTTGAACTTCTTCACTGTTGGACTCTCTCGCTCACTACTTCTCCCTCTCACCATACACACATATTCAAAGGGACCTTCATCCTTCCTTGAGTTTTTTCAATCTCTAATGGAGATCAAATCACTGTCCCTAACCACATGTTTGCTCTTTCTATACTTTATTCCATGTGCAAAAAATTAAAAACATACACATACACACAGTGTTATACCTGCCTGTTTGCTATTTTTTTTAAAGTTTGATCAACAACCTCTGTCTCTCTCATACACACAAGTAAATTAAGTGACTTGACTAGTGAGCTACAAATAGGGTAACAGTGAGAAAGAAGATGGGGAGCGCGAGGGAGAAAAGGGTGGCCTGGGGGTTCACCATAGAAGGAAGCTGATTGGGGTAAAGGAGGTGGCGTGATGGGAAGGAAAGAAACAGTAGGTATGTGATTCACATAGAAAACAGAGATAAAGACAGTGGGTTTGTTCGGAGATGGAGAATAATTGTATTTGGGGGGATCACAATGATACAGATGCAATATATGTTTTGTATGAGTTAATGTGTGTAAGTGTGTTAAGGTATGTGATGAAAAAGTGACCAATGTGTGTGAGAATGTGGCCTGTGTTTTTGTGTATGTGGCAGAGTTAATGGAGGCCGACAAAATTAGGGGTGGGATGCAACTTGATGAAGAGGAGAGGGTAAGAGGGGAAGTGTTGGGTAGGGTATTAATGATAAAAAGACAAAATCATTTTATTATACAAATCAAGAAAAAGACAAAAAAAGAGGGAAGTACCAAAACACCCCTTAAGTTAACTGGGTTAACAAAGTTTGTTAGAAGGAGGGACTTATGTAACACCCCTAAAGCCCAAAACAATGACATTTGTAACACCCTCCAAAGCCCAAAGCAACGAACTGGCTCAATAACTTCGAATCCAATTTAAAATCATGGTGGAACTTATTAGTAGACCACTACTTGAGACTTATAAAGAGCTAACAATTCTCACTTGCAATCAATGTGGAACGACTTGTTACAAACTCCCCCACTCAAACTCCTTACGTCCTCGTTAGGCCTGTCCGAAATCTTCCTCCTTGTCATCGCCAATGTGGGATTTACCTAAAATGTTACAAACACCCCCTTTCGAGGACTCATCATACCCAATGACGTTTTTCCCACCATCCCGATGGTACAAGGATCGGCTCTGATACCATTTTTAACACCCCCAAAGCCCAAAGCAACATACTGACTCAATAACTTCGAATCCAACTTAAAACCATGGTAGAAGTTATTGGTAACCCACTACTTGGGACTTATAAGGAGCTAACAATTCTCAGTTTCCATCCATATGGAACGAGTTGTTACAAACTCCCCACTTAAACTCCTGACCTTCTCGTATTATATTTTTAAGCATTAGCCACTACTAATTAATGTATTATATTTTTAAAATTCGAATTTATAACATATTATCTGATACGTTTGAAAATTTTACTAAACACTTACCAAGTAAAACATTTACCAGTAAGATTCAATATTATCACTTTGTTTATCATGTAAGATTTTGGTTCATCAAAACGACATCGTCGTATACAAAAATTTACTCGGTAAACATTAACCGGGTAAGAACGATCACCTTCATTTACCTGGTTAGACCCTTGGTCATTGTTATCGCTCTTATCGAGTAAAATTTTCAATCATTATCATATTTATCCGATATAATAACGTAACTTGGTAATCGGATAACTATTGTTCGAATGATTTGAAATATAGTTGGAGGGCCTATTTTGTAATTTACCCTCGTATTAATTTTAACTTGGCTGGAGGCGCACGGCGACCATCTCACAAATCTCAGAAGTGCTGAAAGCCTGCAACACGGCCATTGTTGATTCGATAAGGTCGGAGATAGAAGATGGCATGGAGGGGACAACTATCTAAGAATCTGAAAGAACTTCGAGTTCTCTTTTGTCAAACTTCAGAAGCGAGTTCTTCCACAAGGTATCATTCTAATCAATTGACCTATCTTTTTTATTTCAGATTTCATCGATTTATTTCGAATCGTTTAGCTGTTTGACCTAATTTACATGTTTTCCATTTCTTTCTGGTAATAGGGCGTTCGTTGAGAAGAATTACAAGGAGCTGAAGAAAGCAAACCCTAAGTTACCAATACTGATTCGAGAATGCAGTGGCACCGAGCCTCAACTATGGGCAAGATACGGTGCGAAATCCCCTTTATAATTTTTTCGAATCACTTATATCTGGTGGTTTTAGTTTTAATTGAAATGATCTTCTTTTGATTTATTTTGAGGATCTGATTAGGTCCAGATAATTAGACACTTGGTGTAGGGTTTCACTTTCAGTGTGCCAAGCATTTAACGAGAAAACTAAATCTGGATTTTGGATTTTTGAGGTGACATATGCTGATCAAACTACATTATAACTTTGAATTCTTCATTGATATCCATTCTATGAAAATTGAGAAATATAATACTGTGATGATGACTTGAACAAACAATACCAAAGCAGAAGACATGTAATAAGCTCAGAAAATGTAAGTTTGCATTTGTAAATTGTTGGGTTCAATACTAAAACTAAAAGGGGACATCCTGTTCCTTTTAGCTTCGTTCACTCTCTACCTAGGTTTTGATTTTTGAAGCATATTGGATTTGCTTACAACCTTTTTAGATCATGCGGCCTTACTGCCTGAGCAAGACGTATGGATTGTGTAAGAATAAGGGAGTGCTTCATTGGGGCNGGGATTAGGGGGTGGGGAATCGAAGTGATAATGTAAAAAGTTGTTTGGTATTACATAGTATAATGGGCCCATTACCCAAAAGCTCTACAATTCACATTCTTCATGAAAATTTGGGGGAGGGATGAAAAGTCATTCCCATATCCCATCATTCCTATTCTCATTTCCTAAAATGAACCAAGCGCCCCCTAAAATTAAAAGTCAGATAGCAGCCTTTGGACAAAAAGCCCCAATTTGAATGTAGTGGCAGCTTGGAATTTGTTAAAGTTAACTCTTAAGATTTCTTAATATCACCTGATAAGAAAATGTTGGAACTGCTCAACAAACAATCGGGCAAGTTTGTAATTTAAGCATCTGTTGCATGAAGTATAGCTGTAGATTTTCACTTGCTTTTGTTGAGGGTTGTTGGTTGGTTAAACTATGCTTATTGATTAATAATCTCCTGGTACATGTTAAGCTATTAACCAAGGAAAGTTCAAATATAACAGGCTCGTCAGCACATATAGCTCCTTCCTTCAAGTCTAGGGAACTCACACCCTGAGTCACTGCTTTCACTAAAATACCAATTGAGACTGGGGAACAGACATAAATGACTAAAGTTTACCCATCATAGGTTGGGAGGAACAACTGCCATCAAACAGCATCACTTGCACAATTTAAACATATTCCTTTTTTTATTGCTTTATGTTTCATACTGAAGCTATGTTTAGTTCCCTTTAGCTACCCTTTAGTTTAATTGGAAAAAAACAAGTCTTTTCATGCCATTTGAACATAAGAGAGTCAATAGTTGATCTAACAATTGCTTTAGACATCCTAATGCCTAAGAAACTTCGGTTAAACCATTTGCAAACTGCTTAGTGCGACACCTAACAGATTTCTAATCAAGTACCCTTGTGAAAAACCAAAATGCAACGAAGTTTGTCTTAGTTCCTATTCAGTGTAATGATGATTTTTTTTTACTATCAATTAGTGTAACAAACATTTAATTCTTCCCATTCCATGCTCATGTTACTTGATAAAGAGGTTTTTAGCCTACGTGGGATATGTTGATTTTGATGCCACATTTTTCCACATAATAAAGAATTACAATACAATGACAATATGACATCCATATCATCAAGGAAAATGGGTACGAACTAGGAAGAATTGATTGTTTTGTCAGCTAACTGGGAAAAATTACTGTTATACTAAGTAGAACTAGACAAACTTCATTACATTTTACCCCTTGTAGAACCCCCTTTCCTCAGACTACAGACTGCTGGATGCCTCAAACCCTCATTTGTATTATTCTATAGAAAGTACTGCTTTATTTATGATATGTGATTATGAATCTCATATTTCATCATTACTACATTAGAGATTGTTTTATGCTCGAATTATATTTTCTTATTTTTTATGTTTTGAGCAAAGGCCTGAAAGAAACCTGAATTATTTAGAAGCTCCAATCTTGCTGATGGGTTTGAATACATGACAATCAGTATTAGGATCCAACTGAGAAAGATGACCGAACTAAAGAAAATCCATGCGCACTACTTGACACCTAACACATAATCTAAAAACCAAACTAAACGAAACGAGCCTGGTATATCCCACCTGGTCTCTACCACATGGAGTAGACCGGCACTGTTTCTGTGACGACCTCCATTCGTGCAAAGTGCCCAAAGGAAAAAGGAAAAGAATCAATAGATAAAAAAAAGTTGGGGAAATAGGTAAGAAGAACGTTAAAAAAAGAGAACTTGGATTCAAGAAAGGCAGGTAACGTTAACGCATCATCTATTAATGTTAATTTTTCTTTGGTATCAATCAGTGTTCTTACGTCGTGTTTTTGGTTTATGTACAGACATGGGTGTCGAGAGGGGTATTCGATTGGAAGGGATGACAGAAACACAGATCTCTAAAGCATTGGAGGACCTTGTGAAAGTTGGGGCATCCCTCAAATCCTGAAGCATCTGCCAACCAAATCTGGAGAGCCTCTTGAAAGCAATAAGCCTAATGTCAATGAGAACCACCCTTTTGGTTTAATTAGCAAGTCATCAACATTCCAAAAACCAAACATGAATTTGCATTGTATCAATCACACCCCGGTGGATGATCCAGTGAAGTGGTAGTTTTTGTTTCTGAATGAAATTTATGTTTGAATAAAAATAAAATTACCCATATGTAACATACATTTGCACACTAATTGAAAAAGGCGTTTTATGGTGGTTTTGAACTACCATCTCACCACCTCCGGTTCTTGTAATATCCAACTTTGGGTTTAGTTTTCAATGTAACTTGTAGGATCAAGGCAAATGAAGACGGTTCCCTAATAGAAACCTTATACAAAGCTCTAGATGAAGGTAATATATTCTAAATATATCAATCATCCTTAGATGCATTGGGATATATATACACACACATACAATGTAGGGTTTACATGAGACCAGCATGTTTTCGTGAAATCCGTGAGACATCATTTTTACATTTGAAATTTCATAATAGAGTATTGTGAAGGTAAAAAAATATGAACTTTCACATCAAAAACACTCTGAATGTTACCTTCACAGTGTTTTACTGTGAAGTTTCGAGTGTAAAAAAATGGTCTTATAATTTTCATAGGAACAATATGGCTTCACATGATCTCAAGAGTGTGTGTGTGTATATATATATATATATATATATATATGAGAGTTCAAATGAGAACCTCTGTAATATACGAGAATTCGAGAACAATTGTGGGTCTCAAATCTTTTTAACCAATAATTTAAGTTATATTAAATAAAAATAAATCAATAAAGGTATTAATGTAATTAGTTATTTTTATAATTTTTTATCTTATTTTAATTATAATTGGAATTATCCCATGATTTTAGTATTCATGTGATAATCGCTAGTGATTGGACTGTAATAATCGTGTGATACGTGAAACTAATCAAACCAAACAATGTGCAACCATATTTGGTGATAATCGATACACGACTGGGTTGTGATAATCGTGTGACCTAATCGAATTGAACAAAGTGTAGTGGATTTCTTGTGAAAATCATGTGCTATTCGATTCATATTTGAGTGTGATAATCGTGTGATGCATGAACCCCAATCGAACCAAACAATGTGTAGTCGGATTCTGATAGGAGCTTTTACACCCTCAAACGTGGTAATTAGGACAAAAAAAAAATATACAATTATCCTTGATATCGTCTTTTAAGTAATAAAGTGGTACAAATACCAAGTATCGTCCACATGAATGTTAGTAAAAGCTTAATGAAAGTATAATGAAAGAAATGGTTTCAGATGACGATTTTGAAGACTTTGGTTGATTGTTGAGTTAACAATTGCAAATAACGGAATAAATAAAGGTAGCATGAGTGTAAGACTTGTGGTGAGACATAAACACAAATTCCAGCAGACAATGTTGTAGGGATGCCATAGCAAGCAGTCAGTCATAACTAGTTCCATAATTTATTTTGAGGATATTTCTTCCGGATTTCACCATTGCACTAATGTTTAGATTTCAACTCATATTTCTATGTGGTATCAAGACCAGTAACAATGCAAATTGATGTCCTCAAGAGATATGGATTAGCAAATTCCTTTTTCTAGAAATCACTCTTCGGAGTATATTCCATATCCTTCAAGTTGGTGTGTTCTTAGTGGATCCTCCTTGAGTCTACTACTGTAACACCCCCATTCCGAAGCCCCATTCCGAAGGAAGGGAGGTTACTTCAAAACGTAATGGAGCGCTATATAAAACCTCCAAAATATAGTCTCCAATACAAAATAAAATCTTCCAATAACGAAATTGAATATAACTTCAAATAAGATATAAAGATCTCCAAACAAACTATTTCCAAAATCCTCCAACAA